GACACAAACATCCTAGTGGCAAAGCTGCGGACGGCACCTTGTAGATAGAGCTCCTGCCTTTGGACACATCGCAGGCCTTGTGGAAATGGCCCCATTTTTCCCGACAGCTGAAACAGCACTCATGTAAGATCAGTCGGCACTCTCTCTGAATCATGTCTGTCCTCCGAGGATCTCAGCCACTGAGAAGGATGTGCTGTAAAGCCAGTGTCAAGCTGTACACACATGAACCTGTGATTCTAGGAAAGGGAGCCGTGAAAATGACACTGGGTTGTACAAGGTGCTGGGAACTAGGGACTCATGCCCTCAAGAGCTGCATCAGGAGATCTCAGCATAACCAATACCTTGTATTTATTCATTAGTCACACATTTATGAGATTTCTATTCTGTGTGAGACTCTATTGTGAAGGCTGTTGGGGCAACAAAAATGACTCAGGCCCCGTTGCCAGGCGCTCCGGGTCTGCTGTTCGGGAAGCGGGGCCCTCGGATGCATTCGTGATAACAGTTCAAGGAAGAACTTGCGGAGCGGCCCCAACCATGCGCCGAGGGAGTGGAGAGCGGTTCCACCAGCGGGCCCCTAGAGGCGCCGTGAGATGGCCTTGAGGACCGGGTAGTATTTGGACAGAGAGAAGAGGAAGGAAGGCTGTCCGAGCACGCACGTGAAGGTGGATTACTGGGATGTCACCACTGGAAAATGGCGTGTCATCTGAATTTGACCAGCACGTGAAGCAGGACAAAGCCCGGAAGGGTGGTTTTCAGCAGCACAGAGCCGACATGGCATGTTGAACAGAGTCGTGGCGGGGACTGCGGGCCCAGGAGCTCCTGAAGGCCACATCTTCTCAAGGGGAAGGCCACAGCTTCCCAAGTGTCCTGAGCTCATTCCTCCCTCAGGCTGGGCCTTCTGTGTCCTCTACCTGGTCCACTCTCACCACCGCTCAATCCTGCTCATCCTTTAGGTCCGAGCACAACTGTCATTTCCTCGAAGTCTGCCCTGACCTTTCCATATAAATTAGATTCCCTGCTAGAGTCTCTCGTCTCAGCCAGTTACTTCCCTTCCCAGTGTGTCTCCTGGCTGATATGCTGTGTCTGTGACTGGCTTGCTATCCATCTCCTCACCAGACTGCACAAGCTCCCTGAGGTCAGGCCTTTGTATATATTTGGTCCCTTAGTCTGTCCCCAGTGACTGACGCTCAGAAAGTTCTCCATCAGTGTTGGTTGAAGGATAATTAAATGAATGAACGCCAGAAAAGAGAAAAAAACAATGCATAGATCCCCCAACACACATATAATAGAAACATATTCTTACTAAGAGAAGGGTCATTGTTTGGTGACAGACACATTGGCTGAGAGTCAGTGTTGGGGGCCTGGTTTTTACACCCATTTCTGTCACTTCCTAGTTGAGAGAGATCACAACCCGAAATTGAATTTGTCAGAGCAGCTTCTGGGTCCTCACAGCCGTTGTCTCAAATTCCTCATTTATGATATGGGGATGATACAGTCTGCCCTATTTATAGTCCATATTTGGGAAAACCCATAAAAACGGTATATACTATTCCACAGTTAGAGTGCTGTACAGATAGAACACTGAATCTGCTCCAACAGCGTGGAGACACTGTGTCTAAATTTTACATCTAATGCCCATTGCCATTACCAAATAAGCGACTTTATTTTTCATTCATATTTGCCGCAAAATATTATTTTCTATTGCCACTGGTCCAGAGCAAAAAAATAGCTCCACGACCAGGACCAGCGGTAAAGCTATATATAGTCTTTTGTTACCAGGGTGAACATAAAGTATTAGGCCGCTTCTGTGTGAAACACACCAGTGGAAACACAGGCCGTTGGATTCACTGGGAGGTGCTGACAGTGTGGACAGAAGTGGAGCGTGCCACCTAAGAGGACTAGCTCGCCGGAGGACTCCCCAGAAGTGAGCCCAGCGCCCTTGTCAATGGACATGCTAATTCCCGCCATGGACCCTGTGAATTGGGCCTTTTGGCTGACACCCGCCTGAGAACTTAGGAACAGCTGGAGACAGTGGAGTGACTGAAGCGAGTGGGGTTGCCTGGGAAGGGCTTACGGGAGGATCACATTGTTATGTCAACAATGGTCTGGGACAAGACACAGTGGTGCCGTGCAAAAAATGCGGATTAAAAACAAAAGTCGCATTCATATTTCTTGGACTTCAGCAAAGTTCATGGCTCGTTATGGGATGTGAGACCATATGGAAGGTATCACAAGGGAAGCTTTGGCTCTGGGATAAGCATGTCAAGTGTTTCCTAATGAAAAAGCATTTACTGAACACCTACTAGCGTTTCTAGTGCTTACGTGGGAAAGCAATGTCTGTGGAGACACAGGCGGAACAAGGTCAATGGCATGAGCGATGAACCAGAAGTTGGAGTGGGCAGAGTGCTCCATCGTGAGCAAAGCGTACAGACCAGAGGGGCCGTCAGAGAAAGGCGAGAGAGGAAGCAAGAAAGTATTACTTCCTTGTGTTTGTACAGAACTTTACAGTATAAAACAAACAAAACCCCCAAACCAACCAACACACATGCACAGCCATCATCATGTCTGAGTCACGAAACCAAAGCAAAGCCCAGAAAGTCAGTGAGGCTGGCGGCGCGGGCGTTTCCCCGAGAGCTCGCTCGCTCGCCTGCCAAGGTCTCGGGCTGGAGCGGTGGAGCCGTGTCTCCTTGGGCCCGGGGGTGACTGTCCCAGAGCACCTTCCGGAGATGTCAAGGTGAGAGGCCTCTCTACACCTGGCTGAAGAATCTGGTCCTCATTCTGTGAAGGCTGTGCTTCACCTGGGCCGAGGAAGGAGGCAGAGCCCACCACTGACCACCGGCAGCTCACTGTGACGTTGACCTTGGCCAAGGCGCTGCAGAGAGCTGTTGGAAGGATGGTTTGGAGCCCTTGCCAGGCCCGGTTCACCCAGAGGCCAAGTGTGTTGGACTTACTTGCTTCCTCCTCTGCCGTGTGTACGGTAGGAAACGTGGTTCATGCTGCAGTGAGACACGCGTTCCTGAGACCTCCGTGGAGGAAATGGCCGCCGTGGAATGGGTGCGGGATTAACTGGCGGTGAATTTGAAGCCAAAGGGGACTTTAGAATTGTCTAGCCCTGCTCTGTCATTTTACAAATGAGCAAAGGAGATAAGCACTATGTCACCATCGTCATCGTTGTCATGGGAAGAGCTTTACTCATTTATTGTGTGTCTGGTGTGTGTTCTAGGTGGTTAACATGCGGGGACTCATTTGACCTTCACGACAGACCTATGCGGTAAGCGTGGCCCAGGGGGACTCGGTAACTTGCCAGTATCGAGAGGTGGTCAGCGGTGGAACTGGGACTCGTGCTTTCTCTACAGATCCAACCAAGGGTCCACGGCTCTGGTGAGGGGACATTCTGATGGCGAGCTCTGAGACGTGGTCCTTTGCAACGTTTTTATTCACAAGTTGGATAAAATACAGAAAGGGGTTCATCAGCTCTTCAGAAGTCATGAAATGGGGGAGGAACAACAAATAGATCGGATGAGAGAAGCTGGATCCCAAAGACCTGGGGAGTGAATGGAGCCTAATTTCATGTCAGAGGAATGTGGGAAGAGAGCGTGCGTTGGCCCCACACGCTGCCCGAGTGCAATGGCCAGTGTGGAAGACACGGAACTCGGGGGTGTTGAGTTGGTTTTACAAGAGCTAATGCGTGGGGCTAATGCTCCTACTTTGTTCCTGCTCTGGCTCTTTATTCCTAGTTTTTGTCCTGGGTTCTCCCAGCGTTGGAGTCTTGGTTTCCTCCCGTAGAGCTCTCAGTTGACTCCCCGCCTGGCTCTCTCTGTCCTTGTCATATCAGGAGAAGCCGTCGGATCCTTGTTCCAGCCCCTCAGGGCTCAGCCATGACTCTTGCCTCTTGAGGGTGTGCCGACAGCACCCCCATTGTCCTGCCAACACAGACACCACCAGGAGAGATTTGCACCCTGGCTGGAGTATTGCGTCCAGGCCTGGCAGCCCCCTTCTGCACTGTGAGGGCAGCTGTGTACATTAAAGTACATGCACAGAGAAAGGATGGGTTGTTTATACACTGGACTCTCCATGACACTTGGGATGATGGAAGGAGAAGAGTGCCTAGAGAAGATGGGCTGTGGGCGTGGAGATGTGTGTCCGAATTTGCAGAAGATCCCACTGTGACAACCCCCATGGCTTTTCTTGTGTGGTTCCAGGGAGTTGCCTAGAACCTGTGGGCAGGAGCTGCAGGGAGAAGGGGCAGATTCAGCTCAATAAAAAACTTTCTCATGGTAAGAGCAGTCCAGAAGTGGAATGGGAGAGTAATGAGCTCCCCATTGTTGGAAGTGTTCAAGCATCAAAGTGGTACCTGGACTCTTTGATCTGTGGGTTGGTTCCATCCAAGAGAATGTCTGTGTCAGTGAGGACTTGGGGTGCTTCGATGGGGCTGTAGGTGAGTGCACTCTCCAGGGAAACCTCAGCGAATGACCATTGCGGGGGGCCAGCACGCCCTCCCTACCTGTGGCACGGCATAGGCTCCCAGCTGCACTTGCCAGGCTTCCACCCTGAGAGCCCAGTGCCTCCGGCAGCACAGGAGAGCCCACCCCAAACCTAGGGGCCGCTCTAGTTTAGCGTCCATCACTGGGGATCGGTCTGCGCTCTTCTGGCTCCCAGATCCAGTAGCAAGAGCATAGGACAGAGAGCAGCTGGAGTGAGAAAATGCGTTTTAATAAAACCCCATTGATTTTTGTGGGTGCGAGTCAAGGAAAAGGTGCCTAAAGAGTCTTCCATCCCCTGCCACCTCCCCCTCTCTCCTGACCTAATGTGGGGCGGTCACACATCGATCGGCTTCCTAGATAATAGATCGTGCCTCTGGTGGGGACCTCTGGGGACCGGCAGGGAGCTGGGAGAGTGGGACGCAGCAGCCCAGCCCCGAGTTAATCAAACTAGCAACAGGATCTCAGGCTGGCGACGGTGGCGGCGGCATTATGCGTGATTACTGACAGGCACCAGCTGCCGTCGCCGGCTCCGGCGCGCTATGTGGCCGCCCCGATCGAGAGGCGGATTCCTGGCTAATCCGGGAGGGCTGGCCCAGCCCGCGCTCCCGGCTGCGGGGCTGCGATGACCACTCTCGGTCGCCCAAGTTGAAGGACTCGGGTTGTGCCTGGGGCGGGGCGCGATCTTCAGGAGACTGGCGAGGACTATGAGCTGAAGAGTAAACATGTATGGGAATTATTCTCACTTCATGAAGTTCCCCACCGGCTTTGGCGGTGAGTGCGGCACCGTCTGGACCACCCGGGGAGACGGAGGGGACGGGGCAGCCGACGGGATTAGCATTGAATCCTGTGTGTACATGCATGGACAGTGCTTGTGTGAGTGTGCGTGTGCACGGGAGAGGGGAGACCGCCGTAGGTGACAGAGCATTTGCACATCCGAATGAGCGAGCGCCGGAGGGGGCTGGGCAGTCTCAGGAGCGGGTCTGAACATCGAGGCCGAGCTGGGAGCGGGCATGGCTGCAGCCGCCTGTGTGCGTGGGCGGAAAGCGGGGTTAAAGAGAAATTACCGGGGCTACGGATGATCCAGCTCCCAGTGAGAAGAATGGGAGAGAGAGGGTTCACCTGCACGAAGGGTCCCCGGACACTTCACAAGGGTGGGCTTGTGTTCAAAGGCAGATTTCCCTGTAACTGGAGTTTTAAAAAGCAAACGCAATACTTTAATTTGCCACAGTGCTGTCCTCTCTGTGATTCTCCCCTTTTGATTTGCTAATAGCCTCTGGTCCCCTCCCCTGTGGTCCCCAATTCCATGGCTAGGGTAACTGCCATCACTTCCACGGAGGGTCAGGGCTGGCTGGAGACCTGTCACAGAGTCACACTCACTCCAAGGTCCCCCGGATTCGGTGACGGTCACCCAGCTTTGAGTAAATGGACCCAACAGCTGACTGCCTGGCCTCTCCCTTGTCAGCGGGTGGCAAGCAGCTCCTGCTCCTGGGAGCCCTGTAGTTCCTCTCCTGCCCCGGCTGCTGGCAGGCAGGACAAAGCAGGAATTCTTGTCAAGTCTTGAGAACAGAAAAGCCCCTGCTGTCCTGACGTCCTCGGCGGACAGACGGGCAGCTCATCTGCAGGCTTGGAGCGGAGCGGAGCGGGGCTGCTGTGCTGGGCAGGGTGCTCTGTGAGCTGCGGTGGGAACTCGCAAGGTGACCTGGTCCAGCTGGGTGGGTGCATCAGGCCAGGGGTCTTGCTCATTCATTCAGGGGCAGGGTGGTGGTTACCAGCCAAGCATGGTGTCAGGCACCGGGGTGCAGATGTGAATGTGACAGTCTTTGCCGCTTGGGTCGGGCAGGCTCATCACGCAGACCCGTGGGAATGCTCTGGGGGTTGCCGCCTGGACACAGGGGCGTGGACCTGTTCCAGGAAGAGTCATGTTCAGGTTATTGGGGCCAGTCTTGTGACATGGCCCAGTGAGCGTGGCGGCCAAGGCTGTGACCTGGACATCCGATCTCCGTTCATAGCTTGGTCGCTGGGTCCTGGGTGTGAAACGTCTTCTCGGCTCCTGTCTCCACCCCACTCACAGCTGAGCAGCCCTTTCTCCTTTGCCCTCTGAGTTCAGGTGTCTGAAGAACATGCTAACCCCTTAGATTCTCAGGACTCCCCGGTCTGGGAGGTTATGGCTTTATGAATGCCAGGGAGACCCTCTGTGGCAGTTGGGGTGAGTAAAAGGGTTGAAGGTGCGGGATTTGCAGACAGCTGAGATAAAGGCTGGAGAAAGAAGGTCTAGTCCAGAGCCGTGTGGGGCTGCTGGCTGGTGTCTTGGAGTGCTGGCTGGCCTCCCGGGGGCCTCGGAGCATCTCGGATCTCTCATTGTATGGACGTGTACACTGGGGTCTCAAGGGCGGCAGGGACTAGTCCAAGGTGAGGTGGCCATGAGTGGGAGAGCCCTTCAGGAAAGCCCCTGCCTCAAACTCATAATAGTGTCCCTTCAACCTGATACAGTGACAAGAGCATGGAAGGAAGGAAGGAAGGAAGGAAGGAAGGAAGGAAGGAAAGAAGGAAGGAAGGGAGGGA